TTCATATCCAACTGCAGTAACGTAGAGAGAGCGTTGAACAAAACACCGCCAACAACGCGTGAAATAATTAACATGGAACGCAGTGAAACCGCCGAAAAGGTCCTCGGCATGTACTGGAACACCAAATAAGACGTATTCGAGTTCCATACGAAGTTTCATCGCGTACCGCAATCGTTGGTTTCTAGTGAGCGAGCCCCGACGAAGCGGGAGTTACTCAGCATCGTAATGGCAGTTTTCGACCCATTTGGGCTATTGGCGAATTTCTTAATCCCTTAGAAAATTATGGTGCAAGAAACCTGGAGGCAAGGCATCAACTGGGACGAAGCTCTTTCTGCAGATCTGACAGCGAAATGGATACCCTGGAGGAAAGAGTTTCAGCGCATCAGAAATTTTCAGATTCCACGGTGCTACTCGGCCAATATCTCATGTAGCAGCAACATAGAACTGCACATCTTTGTCGACGCTAGCCAAGTAGCATTTGCAGCAGTTGGTTACTTCCGCGTGGTGCACAACGGCGTAGTGGACGTGACTTTCGTAATGGCTAAAACTCGCACCGCCCCTAATCGCTTAATGTCTATTCCTAGACTTGAGTTGCAAGCAGCAGTAGTGGGCACCAGATTAAGTAAGATGCTTGTTAGCTAGCACGACTTCCATATCAGCCGCATTCTGTTTTGGAGCGACTCGCAGACTGTATTGCAATGGATTTATTCCTCCGAGAGAAAATACAAGGCCTTCGTAGGTCATCGCATTGCTGAAATCATAAGCGTAACTGTTCCTGAGCAGTGGCGTTGGGTTCCCACTAATAGCAACCCAGCAGACGCAGCTACACGGCCGTCAAATCAACCTAGGTTCAATACAGATGACCGCTGGATCAACGGCCCTGAATTCCTTAAGTACAACGAGCTACATTGGCCAGCCACTATTGTCGAGCGTCCCGCAGTAATGCTTGAAGAAGTTCAACCCAGCCGTCTCCTTTATTGTCAGGCAAGTAAAAATTTCATTAATTTTACTAAATTTCGTTCATACTTGAAGATAAAACGGATAGTCGCATGGGTGTTACGAGCCAAATTGCTGTTTAATAGAAAGTCAGTCAATATGCATCTGTCGAATGTACTTACCGTTGCGGAAATTGAAGAAGCAGAGATAATGATCTGTAAAACGGTGCAGCAAGAGTGTTTCGCAAGCGAGATTTCAGACCTCTCTTCGTCGCGTCAGCTTTCCAGACAGAGTGCAGTGTACAGTCTCACACCCTATCTCGACGAAAAGGGTCTTTTGAGGTTAAATGGTCGCATCGATATGGCAGCGTATTTACCTTTCGAGACGCGTCATCCTATTTTATTGCCGGCGAAGCACATTTATTTTATGCCTAAGAAATTTCATAAATCGACGTGGGACCCCAGTAAGGATTAGAAGCGACAATGGGACTAATTTCATCGGCGCCCTAAAGGAGTTAAAAAACGCCGAGCAACTATCTGATACAGACCGCATTCAAGAAGAAGCCGCGAAGTATGGCTATTCAACTGCCCCGCCAATCCCAGTGCAGGCGGTTGCTGGGAGCGTCTAATACGAATTGTTAAATCTCTACTGAACCGAACTCTACGTGAAACAGCGCCTAAAGCAGCAACCTTGCAAAGTGTGTTGATAGAGGCTGAAAATATTATTAACTGGCGGCCGCTGACAGACTTACCGGTATCTCACGAAGAAGACGAGCCAATCACGCCGAACCATTTCTTGCTGGGATGTGTGAATTCAACACAACTTCCTCACCCAGTCGACGAAAAGCTTTGCCTGCGAAAACAATGAAGGATAGCGCAGAACCTCAAAGACCGCTTGTGGAAACGGTGGACGACAGAGTATCTGCCCCAACTTATATGCCGTACTAAGTGGAAGGAGAAAGCTATTCCCCTTCGAGTAAACGACCTAGTCTCGGTTTGGGGTATTCCCGACGAAAGATGGTCAAGTGCGCATGGCAAAAGTTAAGACAAGCGGAGGAGTACTGTGTCGTCCAGCCACACGTCTAGCCCGACTCATGTTAAACGGTGAATCTCAGGGAGATTCACGGGGGGTGGGGTGTTAGTCAACCTGTGACATTCCCACGTTCTAATTCAAATACATACATACGTCAAAATTCAGAATGATAGAATACAAATCGGCAAAAACCAAAGTAACGGTATCCATGATGGCGCCACCATTGTTTTTCACCGTGCTGTAAATTTCCTCGTCACTACCGAATATTCTGGAAAATCATTTTACCATCATTGGCGAAGAAAATATCGACGAGAGCAGACGTGCCAGACCAAATACAGTGTTGAAACGCGCGCAATTAAGCGTGCCAAGTAGAAGTTCAAATATTTAAACATTTTATATTGCAACTTATTTTAAATAAAACACCAACTACAAGCGTCAATCTACGCCAATCGTCTTATCATTTCTACAAATGCTATTACTACTATTTAGATACAACTCATACTGCGAATGAGTAACTAGACTAAGCAACCCTAGTTAAGTCATGTATCTCATGAAAAATAAAACAAACGAGTCCACTTGTTGAATACACAACCATCGTCTCCCATTATTACAATAAAAAGAAGGAAGCAATGAACTGCATATTCCGTCATTTAAAGAAATAAAAATCCAGATTGTAAATGGCACACTGCCATGCTACAATCTCCCAAGACACACGGCCTAAAAGTACTATACGCACTTATGTTGTTGTTATTGTTACAGCATACAAATTCTCCCAACGAGTTTTTGGGAAATCAGCTCGATCGAGAAGCCTTGGCCAGTTGTGTTCTTCCGCCCTGCAAACCATTTTTTCAGAGTATTCTGCATTGTAAAGAAATCTTAAAGAATTCGTTAAGATTTAATTCGATTTTTTGCCGAATTTTCTAAAATGAAATAAATTACGCACACTTCCATTCTTTTACGAAATTTCGGAAGAAAATCTGTGAAGCAGCGAAAATAATCCCTGCAAACCATGCTTTCAGAGTATTCTGCATTGTAAAGAAATTTTAAAGAATTCGTTAAGATTTAATTCGAATTTTTGCGGAATTTTCTAAACTGAAATAAATTACGCACACTTCCATTCTTTTACGAAATTTCGAAAGAAAATCTGTGAAGCAACGACAATAATGCTGCTATGTGAAGAATATCTTTCAGAATTTTTCCAGAATTTTCTTTATTTTTCGTACAGAAATTTCTTTACGAGTTCGTGTCAACCACTTCATATAATTTTCTTTGAAAATTCGTAAAAAAAATCGTTACAGAAATGAGATACTTCTAACGATTTCCTTAAGATTTCGGGAACTTTGGTTTGCAGGGCGGTTATGTAACATCAGTTTAAATATCGAACTTACCGTTAAATAATGAAACATTTCCACAGTTTCGCGTGCAAGTGTCAAATAAGAACGACACTGTCGTTCATCAGTATTTAATTGTGAGAGTCTAGTTTGCTGCTGTTCAGAGCTCATTTGCCCCCATGCGCTCTCGTTCATCATCAGCACCTAGAAAACACAATAAGAAAGAGAATTTTATTTCATTTTATCTGCTACTACTTCTACTTCATCATTTCACAATTTTACCTGTGTTTGATGTATGCGCTTCAAATTTTCTAGGCATTCGTCCAACAGGAATGTGGTATCGTTCATGAGCATGTTAATAAATTTCACAAATTGTTTGCCCGAATTCGATTCGGTTATCATTACTTGCCGTAGCACAGGATTTTCCCACATTGATTTAAATAGATGACTTATGTGATATCTGAAAAGCAAATTCATTAGCGAAAACATACAAACATATATTAATTTTATTATTTCTAGTTTACTCACCTAATAGTAAATTTATCATAGAACTCAGTACTTTGTCCAGTCGTTTCAATATCTACGTAGAATTTCATTAGCGCGCTGCAAAGCACAGTCTGTGCCAATTCATGATTCCACATCTAAAAACAAAAAACGTGTGAGCAAATGATAAAATATAAGTAATCAATTACATTGGATTTACTGTGCTTACAGATGCGCTTAATGAATTTTGTGGTCCAAGCGAGAACACAAACAACACTTCAACTAATTTGGCAGTGACATAAGGATTCTTTATGAGATTGGGCACACAGACGCACGTCAACAACCATGTGATTATCGAATGATCGATTGTCTGCCGTATATCATTGAGGGCATGTTGCATGGCGAACAGTATGAATTCGGCAATATCGTCGACATACCACTCGGGCAGTGCAGCAAATGCATCGGTCGGCTTCAATTGTTGCACCGGCACCTTGGCTATGAATGGGCCCTCAATGGCACGTCCCTCAATTTGATATAGTAGATATTCACAAACAGTCGAATAGAAGTACATGCAAGCTGATAAAAGTTTAGGATCGAGCAAGCATAGTTCACTGCACATTTTGGACCTAATTAAAATATATATTTTTTTGTTAATTGATATATGCATAAAAAACCAAAAGAAAATTCTTGACAGGCGAAGATTATGATGTATTTGGAACGCATTTCCTTCGTCCTTGCTCCAATTGATTTCGAAAAAGGGTTGTTTTATGTTATGTAAAGTAACGTTTTTTTCTTCTCTGAACTCATCAAATGCATAATATACCTGCGTTCCACCTACATACATATATACACACATTCACTCCACTTACCTGGTCAACTTTTTCAATTGCTTATGCCAACGTTCACGAAATTGTTTATTCCTTTTCGCATATGGTGTATTCTCCCAATGCGATTTGGTGCGATCGATTTCGTCAATGAGTTTTTGGAGTTCTTTAATGGCGCGTGCCTTCTGCCGATAGCGTTGTATGGCTGGCATATAGCCCAAATGATGCGCTTGAAGTGTTAGGAACCAACATTGCGTCTGGAAGTTGGCATTATGTGTGACCGTAGCAAAATTACGTTCAATGAACTGTTTATATTCGTCCTCAGCGTAACGTAATTTCGTATCATTCTCAATGGAGATCAACGAGTCTTTATAGAAGGGAAAAGCCGGATCGATGCGATCCAATTTGATTTTCACCGACAGCTGTTGCAATACGCTCATTAGATTTATGACGAAACCATCGCGTGCAAGCAATTTTTCATCGCAAGCGAGCTGTGCACGACGCTCGTTGTAGCGCAGTATTTTGCCAATGTAGTCAAGCGTTTTAGGGCGGCTATTTACGTTGACGAGCAAGGAGTGAAATACTGTATGCATTGAGGTGCGCATTGATTGCATTTCCTAAGCGACAAAATATATCCAAAATTATTAAAAATCTTTGTACAAAATATGTTTAATATTGTAATTCTCACCCAACGAAAGTGGTACATGCTATACACAATGGCATTGCCTTTGCCATGCGCCTCTGCGAATTTCACATTTTCCTCGGCGAACAGCGAGACGGATAAGAATGGCCCTAAATAGCTGCATTTCACTATTTCTCGGCCTGGTATTTTCGTACACATTTCAGGTAGGAAATTCACTTGCGCAGCAATTAAATCACATATCGGCCTTGACGATCCAACTTTAACGGTGACCAATTTAGATAACAAATCAATTTGCTGTGTATTTATATTGGCTGTACAAATATTGCGTTGCATGCCAATGAAGAGACCACGCAGAAGTTGTGTAAAGATTTGTTGGAAGTCTTCAAATTGGTTGTAGGCGGTAGCCACCAAATCATACAAGAATCCATCGGGTATGCGACCTTGGTAGAGCATTTCCAGCAAGGCTGATTGATCTAATATATAATTCGAATTTTCATAGATGCGATCGGTGAGCACAAGTATTGTGGTGCGCATTACGGCGTCATATACTTGTTGTAGTATGCTTTGAATTTTCGTTGCCGCCTCAATTGGATCATTGCTGCTGCTAACATTATTATCAGTTAAGTATTGTTGACGTAGCCGATGACAATTTACCAAGTATAAGACGACATCTTGCTTGACCACAGTGCCGCGCATTGTGGCAGACGTTGGTACTGGATAGGTGGTGCAATCCAAATTAGCAGCAGCTGAGGTAGTCGCTGCTGTTATAAGTGGCAATAAAAAAGAATATAAAATTTGAAATGTAACTTTTTTTTTACGCAAGTATTCAAAAACCTACCCTGTGATGATGTGGGTTGTTCATCGTCGCGTGTACTACTACTGCCGCCACCACTCATTGCATTTTCTGAAAAGAAAATCGATGGTCGCGTGCCACCTGCGCTGCCTGGCGCTGCATTTGCCAATATTTCTTGTACTTCCCTGTCATCGCTTTTGATCTTTTTCGGAGTTGAATAAGTGGGATTCGCTGATGATGCTGCCGATGTTTTAGACGTAGACGTCGCCAATGCAGATGCAGCGACAGATTTCGATGAAGTCGCTTTATTATTGTCACTGGAACTTACAGCTATTGCTGAGGTACTAGCACTCGTAGACGGAATATTGGCCTCGTCGGTAGCCGCTGCAACGCTTCCGCCGCTAGCCCTCTCTGTTGAATCATGCTCTTCTTTATACAACTTTAGCACACACTCTAGCAGTAGATCATGTATGATCGTTTCAAAATCAAAACGCATATGTGGATATTGTTCAAGAAAATTGGCAGTACGCGGGCATATCATTGAGCCGACACTATGTTCATTCCATGCAGCATTGAATATTTTCGAAATCATGCCCTCAATGCGTTCATCTAACGACTGTTCCGGCTGCTTACGTTCGCTAATCGTGTTTGTAATCTCTGTCGTCTCCATACAGTCAACGACACTGCTGCCAACTGTTTCGTTGCTATAATTGGCGAGTTCTGCTTTTATAGCACATTCTGTTGAAGGTGTGAATACAGACGAGGTTGATGAAGCAGCGGTCAGAACTAATGGGCATTTAGCTATATCCATGGGTTGAGTAGGTGTTGTATTTAGTGAATTCATTTCAACGTCAACGTCCATTTTCGTAGATTCCGAAGGGGGTAGCATGTTTTCTGATGAATTAGAAGCCTCCGCTGTGAGTTGTGTGCGCAACAAGCGTGAATCCTTAGTAGCATAGTTGGGACAGCGGGGTGCTAAAAGTTAGTGTAAACGGAAAAAAGGATAAAGTTTAAAATAATAGAAAATAATAGCCCCTTCAAATAGCCAACACTAAGCGAGAGGCGAAATGAATGGAGGCTAATATAAAATATTGGCCCGAAGATATAGTTGTAAGACAAAAAACCTTCTAGTTCAAGTGTGGAGTAAAGTTGAAATCCAATACATACAAACAATAGATAATTAATTTGAGCCCAGCGCAAACCAGTTTAACCCAAACACAAATCAATTTAAACTCGACGTAAATGCAATTTAACTAATGACAAATGCAATTTAACTAAACGCAACAAACACAAACAAATTAATCCGAACACAAATTTATTTAACTTAAAAGCAAATTAAATAAATTAAAAAGGAGGATCCAATATAACAAGACACGTTGTTCCTTGAAATATTATAATTTTCGGTACTAGGCAATTTGTCTTGCAACTAAGATTTCTTAAATGGGGTCTTCCTGAAATGATAAAAAAAAATGTAGCACGAAGTGTTTTTAATTGGAGAACCTGCTTCCGGCCTATTTTAATCAAAAAGTCTGTTAAAATACGTATTGCTTCAGAATGCCTGCTTGTTTCCAAGATTAAAAAAAAAACGGAATACTGTAATTACTATCGAAACGCGATCTTGTATGATGTCAACTATTTTTATTTTTGAATTGGAATGAAGCTTTATTCAAAATACATTTTTAAATACATACTATGTACATACCTAAGCCCTTCTCATTATCATCCGCTGACACTGGTGATGTCGGAATTGTAGTGGAGCTTGAGCTGCTCTCTATTGTTGTAGTTGCGGTACTGCTGGGTGTATTTACTTTTGGGGTATTAGCTACCGCTAATGTACGCAATCTTCGAGCGCGTATCTGTAAAGAAATTCAGTTATTTGTCACTTTAATTCAAACATATATTAGTTAATGTTTTACCTCTTCCGGCGTTAATTCATTCATCTTGTTATTTTGCTCCTCAGCTGATGACATGTCAGACCACTGAAGCTACTCACTTGACTATCCTGTAAGAGTTTCTTTTATTTAGTACAATATATTAAAATGTTTTCAAGAAACTATAGATATGTATGTATGTACAGCTTCTTTCTTTTTCCAATACGTTTGGTTTGCTTCCTCCACTGACTTGCCACTTTTGTCGACGTCGTCACTGTCAAGGTAAAGCGTTGGTTGCGTTTGTTCTACTGGCTATTGTCTCACATCCACAAAATTTCTTTTATTTACAAATTTTCCTTTTCTGCGCTATGTCTGAGGAAATTACGCGTGCAAATGTAGAATCTTTACAACGCTATTCACTGCTTTGTCGGTATTTCAGCTTTTGACGCTGTCCGATTTTATACTGTCGTGCTATGGTGCGTTGGTAGAGAGGTGTCGGTTGAAATGGTGACTGCGGAATTCGTTGCTGCGTTGTTGTGGGTGAACGAACTGCATGAAAATACATGGAATATAGTATGTATGTATATGGCATTAAAATTCTGTCTAGTTTTTTTTTATTTTAAAGAAGACTTTTGCAGGAAATTAACGCGTGCGAATAAGTAATTGAGACAAAACGCCGATTAGCCGTTTAAAGGCCAAATGTCAAAAGCTCATTTATGAGTCTGCGTTAGAAAAAAAAAATAAGAAATAGCGGGATTTATTTTCCTACCTTGTATTTACTAAAAATTGGTCTGTGGCATGGCAAACGGCGCAGTCGGATGATTAGCGGATGATTTTCGCAACAAATTTTCAGGAAAACAATAAAACTGTTGATGCTCCGCAAGCGACGCGAAACAAAAACAGCCTAATTCTAAAGCTATACTAGCTAGTATATAGCTATAAAACTAGTTTAAAGCTAAACGACCCGTGTGCAGACTGATTAAAGAGTATTTTTCTAGTTTAAGAAGATGGTGATGAAAAAGAAATTTTGGCGCACGTTAGATATGTACATATGTATATATATGGTTTGAAAACTGTTATATGGAATAATAAGGTAGTGTCAAAATATTTCTTCACGCTCTAATTACTTCACCTGGTATAATTCTACCATGCCTACATTCTACTACGAATAAGTAAATAGAAAAAAATGTGATATCATTAAAACGCCTAATAGACATGTGACATATGCTTGTATATTAAAGCCAATAATAATAATATTCTTTTACCATCACCTCTATAATTGTGGTTTTGGCCATCGAATGCATGTACTTGCCTACTTTGATGCAGATCCTGCACTGCATTATACTATTTTTAGAAATCAATAAAAGTGATGAGCATTAAAGTCACCCTGTGGTAGTGGCAGTCAAATATAAATAAATATAGGCGTACGATGTGTACGCAAACAAATCTATAAGCATACATACATATGTACGTACATTTATGTATATACAAACATATAGTATATAAATATTCATGTATATATGTAAGTAGAAAGGTAACAATGAATGGGGAGGTATTTGCTTCACCAATTTTCTATAAAGTTTATTTTAAAACACATAAGGGAAATCAGCCAAAGGACAAAATCAGCTGAGAAAAAATATTGCAAACTGCAATCATAGGCAGTATGTATGATGTGCGCAGGTAGATAAGCCAGGGACGGTCAAGTGCACCATCAACGATTTTGTTGGAATTTACTCGAAAACAATGGTGATGGAGCGTGCCAAGTTCCTCGAAAGCATCGATATACATACATATGCACATATTTTATCATGTGTATATGGCTTATTTGTTAGTCCATAAACAAAGCTAATGAAAAAGTAGCTAGGATGGAATAATATAAAACATTTCTACCGAAATAAACAAAAGTATGGACAGAAAACAAAATCTATTGGTATATCTATATATATTTATTGGATACGTGTATGTACATATATACAAATGAATGCACACATTCCCACTGGGAAAAGAGGTAAGCACCTTACGGGGTAAGCCATGTTTTCTTCTAGTTTTTAGTATTAAAATTGTCATCATGACCAATGTCATCTACTAGTAAAGCACAAAATGATCACCTCCGACGACACATTACGTAGTCAGTTGATAAATAACGTGTCGCCGAAGTTATTTCCAAGCGCCGGATACATATGTATGTTGAGCAAGCAAGTCGTTTTTACATGCCGCTCTCGGAATTTCTGTTTAGAAATGTTGAAGCTAATAAATAATTGTTAAAAA